TAGCAAAACAATAAAACTCAGCCAATAATTCTGACACCCATAAGCAACAACTTCTTCTAATATTTCCAGAAGTATTTATTTTCTCAAAGCCTTTGTTCGTGAGTTTAAAAACATCATCATAAGTGACGTGAAAAAACAAATAGCATGTTCTCTTTAAGGCATATTTCACAGCATAAGGAATAATTCGAGTACCTGAATCCAAAATTGTTCTTCTTTTCACTCGATTGAAGATAAAAGTCGCCACGAATTGGTCTTGCTGCAGTAGCCGAAAACTAGGGTTCACACTCTGTTTGTTCTTCTCAGTTGTTGTGTGTTTGCTTGATTGAAGATAAAATCCTCCAGGAATTGTTCTTATTTTCAGTCAATTGAAGATAAAATTCACCGAAAATTTTTCGTGTTGCAGGCCGAGTAGGGTTTACATAAGATGGAAGTTAACATTCTTCTAAGAGTGCTTGTTCGTGCGAGATTTTGTTCAAGTATGATGATACATTTATTATAAATTAGACCTTTGTTTTTGTTATGAAACACTATGCAAGTGTTGCGACTTACATAACACCTTTTAGAAGAAGTGTTATAAGATGATTAAGTGTTATAACTTATATAGCATTTTTAAAAAGAGTGTTATGTATTTTAACACTTCTTATAGCGCTTGTTAAATTAAGTGTTATCTAAGGGTTAAACATTTTTTTTACATAATACTTATCTAAAAAAGTGTTACCTGAAACCATTTTTGGCGTAGTGTCCTTATTTGTCACTCCTGCAGCCTGCTTAACCTGTATCCATAAAGAAACAGGTGGGGATGAACACAAAAGGAACTCGTAGTGCTCACCACTATGCACATAAACAATATATAATATTAAGAGGGTACGGTCGCAGCATGAACATAAAACAATAACATCTTGTCTCATCTCGTATTCACAACGTACCAATTAACTTACTCATGTGCACATCTATCACTAGCCGCGGAAAGGGGCTGCATAAACCCTAACGGCGGGAGTGTGTGCCACACATCGGACACAGCCTTACATAGGGGCTTACGTACCTCACAAGGGCACGACCATATCAGGACTTAAGGAGACTTGCCTCGCAAGGGCAACCGTACCATAACTCGACGGGAACGACCCTACCGACGGCCGTAACAGCTCACATCAGCTCACATCGGCAGGCTACATGGTTCACATGCATACATTGATCATACCGACCCAACAAACATAACACATATGGCATAACAATTTTAGAATAACAAATCCACCTGGTCGAAAGCAAGAGATAACACAAAAGCACGTGCAGGCAGCAAGCTCGTCTCGTCAAGCACCTTTCGAAATCTCCAAGAAAAACACAAGAAAAGATTGAATTAGCTCGGTGTTGCTTCTCCTTGTTTGAAATCGGGTAGCTGCGGCCTTCTTGCTTCCTTTCTTTAACTTGGGGCTTTAAAACCCTTCTAGGATGAGAGGAGGATGAGGGAAAAATGATATTATGTTGTTGTTGTGAAGGATTGATGCGTAGAATTCAAGAAAAAGCTCAAACAATGCACTTGGGTGAGCTGTTTTTTTCTTCTCGGGATTAGCTTTTAGCTCTCGATTTTGCTTGATGAGGGAGAGCTTAGAACGAAATTTGCTAAGTTTTGAAAGTGAAATGCTGAGGTAAAAGAAGTCAACAAAGGCTGGGAATGTGCTTTTGGTAGTGGCGTTAACTCTTATGAAGAAAGTGGGGACAATGGCATGTGAAATCCTTACTCTTAGATGCATGTGAGGAATTTAAAAATGACTAAGGAGCTATCATGACCGAGCTCTTAGACTGAAGAGAGACTGAAGATACTCAAATTTTTCACTAAGGAACATGAGGAACAACCTCTTACACACATCATATAATATAATAATGTATGCCCATGTTAGCTTAGGAATAAACTATTGTTAATCTAACTTAATCCTTACTAACAAGTCTTAGATTAATTAGGCTTAGGAAATAGCTAATGAGCTGGAGAAATGTTCTTGGTCGTGCACATGGTGATGAGGGAATGAGGGAACAAAGTCTTACATGTGAAATAAACAATTGCAATACACATGCTACTATCATTAACATAAAACACTGTTTGACCTCTCTCTCATGGGAGCATTCAGTTAGTTAGTGCCATATATTTGCATATGGATTCAAAAATTAACATATAAGACACATTAAATTATAAGTACCATAAATTTTCTTGTGAATTCGGAAAAATTATACATTATGTAGAATTTATACAAAAACACTTGAAAGCGCCTTAAGAGCATCTTTTAGAGCATCTTTAGCAAGAGCTTTTGGGGAGGTTTACAAACCCCAACTCCAAGGTTTTACTATTAAACTTCATAGGTTTAAGGTTTACAAATTCACAACAGGTTTGC